AGCACGCACGAACGTTAGTTTTCATTCTGCTTTTAGAGAATGTATGTTTACAATAAAAGTATGAATTTCATCATGAAATAAGTTTTAACTGATTAAATTTTCGATTAAATTTATCATCACGCCGTTATTAACACGATAAAAGAACTTATCGTAAGAGCACTTCAAGATAAAACAACGTCTTCCAACGAAGTGGCAAAAATCCTCTGTGGTGTGATGATGAAAAACACGCTCGTACGTACTGGGTCTAAAAGTGACAAGTGACAAAAAAGTAGAAAACAATGTACGTTTCATTAATTAGCAATGACTACACAGCCCCACAAAAAAAGTTCTGTACCACGTGCTGAATCCGAATCCGCATCCTAAAAACCGATTTACAAGGTCATTTTCTAGTAAAATGCTAAAATATTCCCAAAGTAGAGTGAAATAAAGAATATAGTAGAGTAAGTGCCAGTCTTTCCTTGGGTGGAATTGCTTTTCGAAAATTTGTAACTTTTTACAATTTTTTGCAGTAAAAAGTCCGAAGAGGACATTCTGCAAAAATTATTGAACTGTCCTAAATCACTCCTCAAGTCCGTTAAAAGGTCCAATCCTCTATATCGATGTCGACTTTGGTAAATCTTTGACATCCAATATCTTCGTTTTCTTTTCTGTTTCTTATTTGTTTTCATTAATCCCGCAATAATTATGCAACAAGATGCCGCAATAATTTCTTCAGACATTTGTGAAGTAAAAACAGGACGAAGTAAATGCCAAGCAAACTTTAAAAATAATGGTAATTCGTTTCGAGTTCGTTCTTATGTCGAAATCGATAAACAGCGACCGAGCGAACCCAGAATCTTCATTGTTCGGAGTTCGTTGTTCGTTCGGACTTCGTTCGCTCACTGAGTACGAACCTTAAGATGAAATAAATGTGTAAAAACCATAACCTTGTATTTTATACTACCATAAATATATAAATGTAGGTTAATAGATAACATATCAAAAATATGTATTATAACTTATCCCCTAAAAGGTTGGAAACCACACAGACCAGGATCCCATTTACTCCTTTAAGTTACACAATATTTTTGCCTGAATTTTTTGATCGCGAGTTTTTGGGATCTCTGATTACGAATCTGAAGTCTGAATCAGAAAATTCCTTAACAAAAGATGGCGCATACAATAAGGCGGATGTAAAAATTGGAAAAGCAAGCAAAATTTGAAGATAATGGCTCAAACAACAATTCGGTAGTTTTTAATGTGGGTAATCACGAATAGAAGGATTTAATTCAGAAATTTTTAAATCCAAAATGGCGGATCCATTATGGCGCATTGAAAAGCCATAGAAATTGGTATTTACCACAGAAAAGCAATTCCTTAGGTGGTAAATACCAATTTCTATGATGTCATGATGAGTGCGCCATTTTGGATTTAAGAATATCCGAGTTAAAAACTTTATATTCGTGATAAGCGACTTTGAAAATCACGAAGTAACAAGTTTCAGCCATAATCTTCAAATTTTGAATGCGTTTCCGTTTTTACGTCTCATTCGATCCGCCATTTAGGAATTTTCGTATTCAGACTTCAGATTCGTAATCAGCGACCCCAAAAACTCGCGGTAACAAAATTGAGACAAAAATATTGAACAGAAAAATGTGTGATTTAAAGGAGTAAGTAAGTGGGGATCTGGTCTGTAGGTGGTTTCAAACCCTTTGAGGGAAAAGTTATATTATAGGTATTTTTTGGTATGTTGTCTAACAACCTATATTTGATACTGCAAAATGCGAGGCTATAACTTTTACATTGCTTTGCACGAACATTCGTTATTTGATTTAAGACGTGAAATTAACCCACTTATAGGGGTGGGTGAGGAAGTAGTTTACATGTAAACACTTCTCTCCACTACTCAAAATATTATTTTAAAACATTTTCTCAAAATATTTACAAATTGTTGAATTTCATTATAAAGCTTTATCTTATCCTCACTATTTCAGCCTATTTTAGGGATGTTTTAGCGTTTTACTAGAAAAAATGACCTAGTAAATCGGTTATTGAGCTGCAAATTTGAATTCAGAATAAAAAAAATACACAAAATCTATGTATACTCATGTCTGGTACAGAACTTTTTTTGTGCGGCTGTTATTATTGTTTATACATTACAGAACATATGCTTTAGTCCAGTCATTATATGTAGATATGAAACAGTCTATTTCGGGGAAAAAATACTATTAGAAGTTTCTCTGCGGAATATTGTTCGGAAACGTGATATAAACAAAATATTAGAAAATCAACTCGAGGCTAGTTGGGAAACTTTGTTTAAACAATGGTCAAAGTTATGGAAAAGTGGTTTTTTGACTCGCGTAAAAAAACTGTTATTCATGGCGAAAAAAAGTTCATACGAAAAAGGTAGGTAATAAATAAGCCTATAAAATGAGACAAGTCCGATTAAATTCCGATAATTTGTTTATGCCCAAGAGCTCAAAAATGGTCGAAAATGGCCGTTTTTTTCAATTGCTAATAATTATTGCAATTTTTATCGAAGACACTTGTAATTCAGGATTTTTGAGGCTTTTTACACCCTTAATAAGAGGTAAAAATTTCAACCCGAAAGCTTCAATGGTTTGCCGTTGGCGGAATTTGTCATCTCAGAAGATGCTATTTTCAATTTATTTTTCCCAAGCTCAAAGGCGTTGTATAGTTTCGATGATTAGTTGCTTTTGTACCTAAATAGTTATATTAACATATGCATTTACTCAGAATTTAATTTTTCAAAGTTAATTTGTTTAAAAATTACTTTGAAAAAATTTATTAAATTGTTAAGATATGTAATTATTATAAAATCAAATAGTAACCTCTATAGCAAGGGTCGGCAACTGGCGGACCGCGGTCCAGGTCCGGACTGCGGAAGGTAAAATACTGGACCGCCAAAAATTTTTTGAAAGTATAAATTACTCAAATAAATTATTTTAAAAATGTTATTTACGTTTAAGTGCCAATCTTATCATTTTTTCTTGTATTTTACAATTGTGTGAGTGTTTTGATTTCTTAATTAGTAAGCAGATTAAATTTGAGTCCAAATTAAAATAAAAAAATAAGAAATATGAATTTTTTTTCTGGACCTCGTTAAAAATTTTCAAAAGTATCCGGACCCCACCTAAAATTACTTGCCGACCCCTGCTCTATAGTATAGTTAGTACTATTATTCTTCGAATTTAAAAAAAAATCGTTGTTCTAAGTTGATTAGAAGCTGAGATATTTTTTTTTATTTAATCGCAGTGACCTTAATTATTAATATTAAGAGCCGAAATTTGGCGAGAGTATACATTAAGAGCTATATTTTCTTGTCCTACATTAACATTAAGGTGAATTCAACTATTTAATTGCAAAAAAGGAGATAGCGGCGATGCGTTCTATTACTCGGTCTAGCGAACGCGTGGGGAGAGCGAGGCGGAGCATGCGCCTGGTAGCGCGCAGGAAAATGATCGAGCGACTTCAAATCGATGGAGCTGGCCATATCTCGGTTAATAATGAACCTATCGAGATGATTCTTTTTTTAATTTGTGGTAGAGCGAAAATTCATGAACATTGAAGCTATGGTATTAACATTATTTCAACCCGAGATTTAATTTTTTATTTAGCCTCGCTCTTCCCACTCGTTCGCTAGATCGAGTAATAGAACGCATCGCCGCTATCTTCTTTTTTGCAATTAAATAGTTGAATTCACCTTAATGTTAATGTAGGACATGAAAATATAGCTCTTAATGTATACTCTTTCCAAATTTCGGCTCTTAATAATTAAGGACACTGCGATTAAATAAAAAAAAATTGTCTCAGCTTCTAATCAACTTAGAACAACGATTTTTTTTTTTAAATTCGAAGAAAAATAGTACTAACTAAACTATAGACGTTAGTATTTCGTTTTATAATAATTACCTATCTTAACAATTTAATAAATATTAACATTTTTTCAGTCATTTTTGAACAAATTAAATTTGAAAAATTAAATCCTCAGTACAACTATTTAGGTACAAAAACAACTAATGATCGAAACTCTACAACGCCTTTGAACTTGGGAAAAATCAATTGCAAATAGCATCTTCTTAGATAACAAATTCCGCCAACGCCAAAATAATGAAGCTTTCGGGCTGAAATTTTTCCACTTACTAAGGGTGCAAAAAGCCTAAAAAATCCTGAATTATAAGCGTCTGCGCTGAAAATTGCATTGATTATTAGCAATTGGAGAAAACCGCCATTTTCGACCATTTTTCAGCTCTTGCGCATAAACAAATTATCGAAATTTATTTTACGCGAGTCAAAAAACCACTTTTCCATAACTTTGACCATTGTTTTAACAAAGTTTCCCAACTAGTCTCGAGTTGATTTTTTGATATTTTGTTTATAACACGTTTCTGAACAATATTCCGCAAAAAAATTCTAATAGTATTTTTTTTCCGAAAAAAAGCTATAATGACTGGCCTACTTAGGCAGTGATTACAACAAATCGCTTCAAATTAACAACCACATCTAGAACCTCATAAAACAACTGGAATAACTATTTACGTATAATATGATTGTTCAGTTGCAGTAAGGTAAGTATCGTTTCTACTGTTACATTCATTTTTTTATACAAAAATAAAATGTGATATTGAAATGGAATAATTTCGAGAGTATACTATTACAGTCATTTTCAACAAAAAAATGAACTTTCTAAATTAGTTAGGTACACACTTTCACAATTCTACACCATTAAATACAATACGTGTCGTATCATAACCTAGTTTCTTTCTCTGATGTTGCTTACAGTTTTCAAGCAAATACGTCTAACAAAAAAGCAAAGTTAGGGACACAGAACTCGGTTGAAAATAAATATAGAAACGCCTCCTGTTGCCTAGTAATATACTGGAACAAGGAGGCAGAAATTTTCCTTACTGGTAACTAATAACTAGGACTAGGAAATCAATTCATTCGAAGGCTTAGGCCTTATGATATGCAAGTACATTTCTCTTAACAATGCACTTGTAGTTAATCCACAGATATGTAACTCTGTTTCCAAATCACTAAAAATTTACGTCAACTAAAATTACTTCACATGTTTACTCATCTGTTGACAATGAGGTATAGGCCTAGGATTATTCGATGGACCAGCTTCCGCGTAAAGGCAGGAGGACTCACTACAGGAACAGGTAGTGTCGTGACTACTCGTGCAGGAATGTATGTCAGTCTCACAATCAGCATCACCATCTTCCCAGTTGTGCTGACTGAACCACGGTTTATCACAACTGTGGGGAATATTATTGCAATGTCCTCTATTAGACCTGTGTCCAGAACTTCCACTTGCAAGAGAACAGTGAGCGTCGCAGTTGTTGCAAGATCGAGCTCTGGGATATTGAATGACTTTATTGCATTGAGGGGGAATGTGCACCGCGTAGCATCCGTACCCGCCACTGCTGCAACTGCTACCCCCACCTCTAGGTGGTGGGGCTGGGGGATTTTCTCGAGGGCAATCTGGTGGGGGGTGATCTGGCGGCGGGGGGATTATTTCAGACCAATTCGGAGGAGGTAAAAGCATCGTGGTCGCGTAGGGAGTGGGACTTTCCAACTTTTTACAGTTATAAAAAGTGGACAAACTTTTGGTGTCGACTTCGGCGTAGTCCGCAGGTTGGGACAATGGTATAGATGAGTCTTTATCACAGTCTGTAGCTTTCCATCCTCTGTCGATCCAAAGACTTTCTTTAGCGTTCAACTGAGAGGCGTTCACAACTGGTACGTTTAAGTGTCCCAATTGTTTGCTCAAGGATTGCCTTCTCTTCATATAGAGCAGACCTCCAGTTCCGGCAAGGAGCAGAAGCACCAAAACGGCCAAGAGAATCACGAACCAAGTTTGTCGTACTAGTGGTACCAAGGGTCCTAAAGTTCTAGGACTTTGCGCTCTTGGAGCTGTCAACAAAGGAACACTATTCGAGTAAGGTCCTTGTCCCGCTACAGTCAAAGCTGCCACCCTCGCGTTGTACAGGCCGCCAGATGTCAGGTTGCTTATTAATATTGAAGTTGTAGTAGCATTCATCGTCATGGTTCGGATGACGTTACCTTTAATTTGAATCTTGTACCCAATGATGACTCCATTACAGTGCTGTGGTGGAGGGGGAGACCATCTTACCCATCCAGCAGTGTCGTTAAAGACCCCAGCCGTCACGGTTTCTGGTGGTGCAGAGGGAACGTCTTCCAAGGTTTGGGTAATTCTGGAGTTAGAGGGTTGCCCTTCCACGGACTTGTAAAATGGCGATATAAAGAACTCGTATTTCGTAAATTTTTTGAGGTTTATCACCGTATAGCTTTTCGAGTCGACATCTAAAACCGTCAGTATGTTGTAGTTGTGTGATCCACCAGACAATTCTCTAAACCTTATGTAAAAGCCTTCAACGTAATCGTTGTCTGTTAAGGTCCACACCAGCTTAACTGAACTAGAGGATTGCGGTTTAGCATCTTTTAACTCCATAAGTTTGGTGCTCAGAATTGTCCGCGCTGTGTCAAGTTCCGAGCCGGGAAGTGATCGTGAATTAGCTAAAGTACGAGCAGTGCCCGACACCACACTAGCAGATGACAGACCGTGAGCATTCTCCGCCCTCACAATAAAAACGTAGGAACTGTCCGGTTTTAGTTCGTGAACCACCATGTAGGGCGTTTGGACCCGATGAGCTGCAATCACCCATCCTGTTTGTAGATCAGGACTCCAGTACTCTACAGTGTACCCCACCAATCCATTTTCTTCGTCTTCGTCGCTATCCCATGAAAGGCTGATGCTGGATTCTGTGGCGTTTAATACGCGGGGTGCATTGGGTGCTTTTGGAAAAGTGGACGGATCAGGGCTTCGGTGGAGGGACGTCGAGGATCCCTCCACGACGTTAAGGGACGCAGACCAGGAACTCTCTCCGCTTTCAGATACTGCCGAGCAGGTATACAAGCCTGAATCGTCTAGACGTAAATCTGGAAAAAGAAATGTTGCTTGAAAAAGTTTTACTTTTTTATAATATAAAAATATAAATTTAAAGTACTTATAGGATACACTAGTGTGGAGTACGGCTAATACCACTTTTTTGTAGCGCTGTGCGACTTTTCCAAGAACGTTTAGTTATATGTAAAGAGAATGTTTTAAAGATGACCATCGAACGTCTTTAAACGGACTTCTATTGATCATATTCCATTAACGGATTTTCACTGTATAGTCGAGGCAATGAAGCACTAAAAAGGCCAAAAGTTTGTAATTTTTTGCATTAAGACGGATCGGAATGCGGTTTTTTGCATTCGCTTCCAAAAATTTTTTGTAAATAATGTATCTACTTTGTATCTTATACAAACCGGAAATTGCATTGCTGCAGCCAAAAATGCATTCAAAATTTGCATATTTTGAGACGGCTTTTGGAAGACTTAATAACTAAAATCATTGTGGGGGCGTTTTTAGGGGCGCTGAATCCAAATTTCACGTCGAAAACGACCCCTTGAACACCTGGTGCACCGGAACCTGGACGCGGACCTCATCTCCGAGGGTTTTCCTCACACTATCGGAAAAGACGAACCGAAAATCGTTATGGATTTTTTTTTGGGGCGCTGAATCCGAATTTCACGTCGATAACGACCCTCCAAACACCTGGTGCACTAGAACCTGGCTCTGAACGTCGTCTCCGAGGGCTTTCCAGACACGGTCGGAAAAGACAAACCGAAAATCGTAATGGGGTTTTTTTGGGGCGCTGAATCCAAATTTCACCCCGAAAACGTACCTTCGGGCACCTGGTGCACCGGAACGTCAAAAAAGAACCCATAACGATTTTCGGATTGTCTTTTCCGACCGTGTGTGAAAAACCCTCGGAGACGACGTTCAGGGCCAGGTTCCGGTGCACCAGGTGTTCGGGGGGTCGTTTTCGACGTGAAATTCGGATTCAGTGCCCCAAGAAAAAACCCATAACGATTTTCGGATAGTCTTTTTCGATTATATGAGGAAAACCCTCGGAGATGAGGTCCGCGTCCAGGTTCCGGTGCAGCAAGTGTTCAGGGGGTCGTTTTCGATGTGAAATTTGGATTCAGCGCCCCAAAAAACGCCCCCACAATGATTTTCGGGTTGTTTTTGGCAATCTTGTCAGGAAAACTCTCGGAGATGACGTCCACGTCCAGGTTCCGGTGCACCAGGTGTTTGCCGATGCCATATTTGAATTCAGCGACCCAAAAAACCCCCGGGCGCCGAGTTTCTCTCCTTCCCCGCGTGAATTTTGGGCGAGTCCCACGGAGATGACGTTCATCGGCGTTCCTGAGCTCCAGATCGGCTGTGGGTCAATTTAAACATCATAATCGTGATGAGCGACCTCGAAAACCTCCGGGAACCCGATTTGGGCCAGTTCTGACTCTTATTTACAAAGTTATTAAACCTTCTAAAAGCCGTCTCAAAAAATGTATTTTTTGAATGCATTTTTGGCTGCAGCAATGCAATTTCCGGTTTGTATACAAAATAGATACATTTTTTACAAAAAATTTTTGGAAGCGAATGTAAAAAACCGCATTCCGATCCGTCTTAGTGCAAAAAATTCCGAGGTTGAGTGCTTCATTGCCTCGACTAGTATGTATATTTTGGACCCTAAACAGTCTATTGAATATGCTTATATTCATTAATGGACATAATAGAAACGTCATGAGAATTTGTCTGTTATTTGAGAATAGTTATTTACATCATAAAGGAGGTAAGTATTATTTACCAGTCGAGGACGATTTTGTGAGTCCGGGACTGGTAAATTAACTGGTGCGTGGTGTATAACATTTTATCTGCTTTAACAGTTCTTTATGGTTCATGAAATAAAGATTAGGTTTTATTTTTTGACACCAACCAGTCGACAAGAATACCTTTTCTATGATTTCTAATAAGAGTGCACAGGTGAAACTAGAAATCAATCAATAGACATGCTGGGTGGAAATCAGCCGCAACTGCAGAAAGTTATGTTGTTGACAATTTAAGTAACAAAAATGAAATAGCCAACAAGATTCTTTACAATGACACATCAACTCAGGTTCTAGTAGTACGTCGCATCACGCTGTTGTGGCCATACACTTCTAGTCATATTTTTAGGAATACCAGTTAAACAGTTAAAGATACCAAAAGAATTGCGAAATAAGAAAGAATATGAAAGAGAAGTTGTGGTTCTATAAAAGTATCAACCTGTAGATTATTTCGTACGGCAATATAAATAAACCCAATATTTATATAGACTTTTGCCGTATCATTCTTTTCTATTATTCTATTGTCAGTAAAGCTGTACTGAGTCTTATTATTGTTAGCAGATAGTGTTTCATTACTTCCTATCGATTTGTTGACAGAAGATCAACAGAATCCATTTCATGTGAAAAAATCCATGCGCTGCTACAAGATCATTCTTTACATCTAGACTTTTGCTACTGGTTAATAAATAAAAAACGATAAAATTTCTCCGGGTACAATTTTATTCTCAAGAGAAACTATTTCTGTTTGCAGCTTATTTTAATAGAACCATAATAAACAATATTAATGATACATTTAACACTTTAATTCGAGGATATGTTTATCCTTAAAAAATATGTAATTTCCAAATCTGCAAACACCTTGTAATTGTTTCCAATATGTATGTAGATATGTACTTTGACATGACAGTTAAATAAATATACACATTGCACACACATTAGTTTGCTTAAAGTGGTTCCTGTGAATGAAATGAACATAATGCGGTCATAATCCAATTAAATAACAGAATTATATAAATATAATAAAATGAAATTTTACAATGAATTAGTATATAAACTATATATGTACAAGCTATTTCCAAAAATTCAATCAATAATAAGAGTAGCTTAATTTTTTCAGTCAATGTTATTTAAGGGAATGTTAATTACATTTCAAATTTTGCCATTTCGATTTTAGAAATCAATTGTTATATTTCAGAAAGCGTAAATTAATTACTAGAAAACAACTTGTATTTTAGAGAGCATCATCATATTTTAGACAATTATAATAATTATTATAAATTTTTCTGTTCGTTGGTGCAATTTTCGAAACTTAACTTGATATCAATTATTTCAGAAATATTTAATAATAACCATTTGCTTTAGTATTGTCTTCAAAATAATCTCACACACGCCTCTCGATTAGTGCAGTGTCTTCAAACTCATACATAAGAACAAGTACTCAAACTCACAACTGGATAAACAGATCTACCTCGGCTAACAAGACTCTGGAGAGAGTCACTCCACTTTGTTCCTCGCATGCGTGTTCCTTATATTAGGTCTTTTGCGTACGTTCTATATAACAGAAAAATATGAGCTGAAACCTACCTTATAAGTTTGTTGGGTCACCAGATTAGTATTTTTATAGTACTTTGACCAGCTGAATCAGAATCTAATGGCAATGGTTAGATCAATTCGTATTTTGACCAGACATTCATCTAGGAAGCGGTATTCGATACTTCAAACTGACTTCAGTAGTCAGTGATTGGAAAACATTTGAATAAATACTGCGCAAGCTTGAGCAAAAATGTCTAACTGTTTTTAGACGCAAATCCACGGCTATCGTAACGCCTTTATACCTGTAATAATTCCGTTCGTCTTGGTATATGCCTTTTAGTGCTCCTATAAATATCAAAATAGTTGGTTGATACAAAAGTTTACTGGCACTCAGCGTAATTTTCAAGAACACTATCTATAAAATTCTTTCATCTTCTTTATCATTTATTTTCTTCTGGTACTGGTAGCAAATTTGATGAATCCGGAGATAAATCCTTACAATATTTCAGTTACATGTATCAAAATATGAGCAAATTTTAAAATTTACAACAAATGTTTGGGATTAAGTTAGCATTATTTGTAAGCTTCCAAGTTATCGGATAACGATACAATATGTTTGTTATTAAAGTTTATAGTTTCCCTTTTAATTTTTTTTAGAGAATTAAAACGTGCTAGTAATTATATATGTAAATTTAATACCTACCATTTATTATGATATACTTTTCGTAAATACCATTAATTTCAATCAATAAATTAAAATTATGCTCATAACCTTTAAAAAATGGGAATTAGTAACTCTGTTTCTGTTTTAAAACCACTATTTTTTGATCCAGTGGCAGTTGTGACCTACATGTTTGAAACTTAACACATGTTCCATAGGTGTGGAGGTGAACACTTTCAACCTTATCGAGAGGGCGTTGATAAGGACCCTTTTTTATTAAGGAGTTTATATCCTATCTTCATAGCATTAGCAAGACAAGAGGGGGATAATGTGAGTCACTTAAGATGGTTAAAATTGAAAAGTGTCAAAAGAGACTATACAGGGTGATTCACAACTTATCCAATAAAATTTGGGAATAGATGCGGCATGAGAAATGGAGTCAATATCGTACAAATTTTTTTTGTAAAATCATTATAGTTTCCGAGAAAAAAAGAAAAGTTACGGTACATTCAACCACTACATAGCTGGACAACTGTCTCTAGCGTCATTCGCAATACGCGTGGAGAGTCACTTGACCTCAGCGACTCCGAATACTGAAATCCGATTCTGCAATCGTCGTTGCGATAGTGTTAACCTGTTATCTGTGGTGTTTACAACAGTTTTTTAGTAGTTAGTGTCAAAAATGGTTTGCGTGTATAGCAACTCGGAGTTAATGGATATCGTTTTAATGTATGGTGAAGCAAGACAACATTTATATTATGGCGAAGCATTTGTGCTATGGTAAAACAAGACAATATTTGTGTTAGTTCGTAGAAACTGAGTAAGATGGATTCAAATATGTTTACACGTTGGTGGATAAAATTTTGAACAATTGTTGTTGTAACATCGGGTATGTCAAATGATTTTATTGTTTAAAAACACAAATCAATTCTATTAATTAATAAAGGCAAAAGCAGTTGAATTTGCCGATATAAAATAGGTGCGATAAAATTCTATTTACATATTTCTTTCCTTGCGAAAGTTTTTGTTCGTTTTTATCACGCCGCCATACCGGTAACATTGTGCGAGGTCAGGTTTTACAGTGGACCACTTTCCAGTGACGTGCAGAAGTGTATTTTTAAATCATTTTCGAACTGCCCTTTTTGATTTTTTCTTTACAAAATTGTATTTGTAAGGGTCTCCTGTACATCCAGATTTTTTTTGGATAGGTTCTGATTCACCCTGTAGTGATTCAAAATTAACCCTGCTTACCAGAAACAAGATATATGATAATGATGATATCTTTTATTCTGTACAAATTAGTTTTTAGTTACCATTTATAGAAAAAGTTTCCTAATGAGTAGGAAAGACGATATCATGAATTATATTTACTAGACTCAATATTGTATGGCTGTTAAGTTTAATCTAAATAAAACTAAATTAAATTGGAAATAGTAAGGAAAATTATTACAAATAAGATAATAGAACTGTGTGATAAGAACAGATGCAAAGAAATTAATATTATTTCGAAGTTCATCGGAATACATCTAATAAAACCAAGACAAGAATCTTGTCGATTGAAAGGCTTCAAATATGTAAAAGAGCAGTGGTGGCGCGTGAACATTGATTGAATGTGTTCTGCTTAGGGTTGTTACATTTGTTGAATTGAATTCCGGGATATTAAGTGCCCGGAGTCTCTAAACGGCGCCGCAGGCGAAAAATTTTAAAATTTTCAAGGTCACGCGTTTTCCTGGCACTTCTGAATTTCAAGGAACAATGAATTTATAAAAAAAATACAGATTTTCACAAGAATGATTTTTGAAATTGATACCTTTTTGAAATATCCATTTACGAATTACCTACTGATGGTATAATAAATTGGAATAAACTAAATATATTTTATTAAATTATTGAATATTGTTTATTAAAAAAAACCGTTTGTGAAATTTACCAACGATTCAACGAATTTTAATTTTCCTCGGCGTGTTATGATTTTTTCTTTATCTTTTTTTATATATATGTACATTATATTATATTCCGGGAGTTATACGTGCAAATCCGAAATCCAGGACCATACAGCTAATTCCCGGTACAATCACAGAAAATCCCGGTCATACCAATGTGGCTAGATGTTCTTTTAAAATGTCGTCAAGATCTACACTAAAATTTACGAGTCCACGAAACACATCAGGTTTGTCCGAATTTTCTGTCTCGTCGTGTCCGAGAAGTGCTAATTCGAAAGCTCCGCAAAATTTTATGCAATCTATAATTTTAGATAATACATGACGATTTTTCATTACCTGTTCATATGTTTCCGTATATTATCCCAATATGCAGAATCTAACTGACTTCTTATATTTATTTTACCTAAAGGCTTAATGACTTAAATCTTTCACACTGTATATTGTCCATGCTTTATCCCCACCGAAAAGTAAGCACGGAAAACAAAACAGTGAATATTTTAAATCACACCCGCACACCCACTCTGCTTTTGTGTATACATTATTGTTTTTTTATAACTTTTACTTCTTTTATTTTTAGTTTATCCTCATAAGGCAGAGAACCAAATAAAGTTTTTTTTTAAACGAAACGCTATTCATTTTAATAACTATAACATCCGTAGACGCCTAAACGAAAATATTCACACGTGCCGCTCGCAGAAATAAACCACCACATACCACGTACGAAATATTACTGCATTTACTACAGACTGCAGCGCAGTGGCTGTCACTATTGCAGCCGCAAAAGCCCCTATCTCCGTGTACTGGGTCACGTGCCTGATCAGCCAATAAAAACAAAGGAGGCATATAATTGTTCGCTGTCCGCACATTGTGTATATGAGGTTGCATATATTAAGGAGCGTAGCTCGCGTCGCAATAAATAATAATATAAGCTCCTAGAATTATTTTAGCGCGAGTACATTTGGATTCTTTAAATATTTTGTTGATATTTAATATGATTAAATACATAAAATTTTATGTGTTCTGCAGCTCCGCAGCTCTTATGGTAAAACCGCCACTGTAAAAGAGTGTTGTAGGATTTTATATGCAATATAACTAATAAATTGTAATTGATTGATACAGGCTGTTTCAATATAAGGAAGTTACGTGAAGAGGGCGATGAGACGCAAATTAAACTCTATTTGGAGTCGTTCACGTATTTGTTTCCAATAAAATAAACTTATATTAGTAAAGCCGGTTTCACATGATATTGCCAAATATTTGCCAAACTGCCGTATCGTGTGAATGGTACATATCGATACAATCCAAAGTGTAATGTAAACTTTATTTTCTAACAAAAACCGAAACACATTTCCTTACCATCTATATCTAGAGTCCCGCTGGAACTTAAGGTATATCTGCTTGGTAAAATGTCTCTCTGCAACGTCCTGCCATCCTTCAGCCATCGGATCTGCGGCGGATCCCCTTCCGGACTGGAAGCTTTGCAGTGCAGCGTTACCACGCTGTGTAATGGCAAGGTCTGATTGGCTGGTCCAATTTGAATTATGGGCGGCGGTAAATCCGCAACTGAGGTTACCTATAAATTATCAAATTATCATTCATCACTCGCTCTGTCTGGGAGCGCAGTGCCTATTATCGTCACTTATGTTAATTGCCCTTACAGAATCCGCTTGGCATTATCTACAGGAAATTTTGATGTATATCGGGGTCATAAGTTATGAATTTAGCTAACGATAGTCGTTGTCTGTCTGCACTTGAGGGAAAACAATATCTAAACTAGGTGGAAGGAATATAGACAAGGCGAAAACCTCGCATTTGTGGATTTTTTTGCATATTCAGATTCGTGAGATATTCTCTAACATGAATCAAGATGATGTCGGCCGGAAATCTCGTGCCCATTTGTTTAAACAAACTTTTTTTAAACAAATTGTAAAAATTGTTTTTTTTTGTCTTTGGCACATTATAAACAAAAAAGTTCCTATGCACTATGCTTCTAAAATTGATAGTTTTAAAGTTATAAACAATTTAAGTTGCTAAAAATGCGAAAATGAGGATCTTCGACGGCCGATTTCCGGGTTCAAAATTCTTATTTTTGATGTTGCCGGGTACCAAAATTAAAGTTTAAACATCCCCCTACAAGATGCTGAAGAGTTTTTGGGACTCTCATTATTTTTTTTTAATTGTGAATAATGCGCTATGAGCCGCGCGCGCGTCTCTAATACGTAAATACATATTACCAAAGATCCATTAGCCAAAGACAAAGTTAAACAATGTAAACGTACAAAAAACTGTAAGACTAAAGCTTGTTCTTGTAGGAAAAACTATGTCACTCGTGTACCTTTATGTGGTTGTAACATAGAACAGTGTGAGAATTCTTATGATTGAATAAATGTGTGATAATAATAATATGCAGTATTAAATAAATGTTCTTTAATAAAAATCAAATGTATTTGATACTATTGCCGTTTTATTTTTTTCCTGCACTCTATTCGTACAATTTTGAATTAATTAAATAAAATTATTATGAATTATGATATTTAAATAATCAATTTTTATATTATTTTATGAGTAGTAATAGTACTTAGAATGCTAAATTCAAAGAACATAAGCTGAAGCCGCTGGACGAAATAGCGAATCCGCGTATGAGAGAGGCGCGCGCCCGGCTCATAGCGCTTTATTAATAATTAAAAAAACAAGGCTTTCGAATAATGCGAGTCCTAAAAACTCTTCAGCATCTTGTAGGGGATGTTTAAACTTTAATTTAGGTACCTGGCAACATCAAAAATAACAATTTTTAACCCGGAAATCGGCCGTTGAAGATCGTCATTTTCGCATTTTTCGACTTAAATTGTTTATAACTTTAAAACTATCAATTTTAGAGGCATAGTGCATAGGAACTTTTTTGTTTATAATGTGCCAAAAAACAATTTTTACAATTTGTTTAAAAAAAGTTCGTTTAAACAAATGGACACCAGATTTCCGGCCGGCCTCATCTTTATTCATGTTAAGGAACATCTCACGAATCTGAATATGCAAAAAAATCGAGTCGGAAAATTTCTCCCACGAATGCGAGATTTTTGCCTTGTCTAAAAAAGCAGTTGTTTGTGACATTTTTAATAAACAATATTTATTTTTAGTGACAAAACGTTATATTCGTAAATGTGTACGATTTGAAACATAAAATTGTTTAATACATTATTTGATAATAGGTATGTATGTTGATTTCAAAAACTTTCTTGTATCTGTAAAGAGTGACCGCAAAAAAGCCATTTTTTCCGTCTGTTTTTGAGACTGACAGAGGCGACAGGGAAAATTCTAAAAATATCCAAATACTCGTAATGAAAAATGAAAATGAGCGTCACTTTCAGTTTTTCGAAAATTTTACAAATTAAGAATCGTCAACAGTTGTAAAATCCCAAATATTTCTATGTTGTTATCAAAATAATATTACGAACGTGAAAATATCTATTTTCGTATTTGATACGGTCTGCACCGGATTGAAAATCAACCCATAATATCCCTAAAGGGGTGAAATCGTCCCCTAAACGCCTAAAAATGCAAAAAATATATTAAATAAATTAATAAATTACAATTTTTTTTCTTTTTCTTTTATATGTGATAATTGAACCGTTAATAACCCAGAATCACTAGATCCGAAGAAAAATACACCTAAATGAGGATAAAACCAGCCCTAAGTTCAACCATCGGCTTCAAAGTACATAAAATAATTATAATGCATGAAAAAAATTATGTTTCGAAATACATTCATTAGAATAATTTATACACAAGTACTCCCAACATTATCAATCATTTTCAAAAATAATCATCCCTCTCAAGGGGTAAAATCATCCCCCAAATATACAAAAATTATAAATGTGAAAAAAAAATAAAAACAATTTTTTATTATTATTTATTATCATACTTGGTGCGAATAACTTCTAATTGTCACATCAGGTAGAAAACACCCCCAAAGTAGGGTAAACCACCCCTAAATACAATTATCCTTGATTGATAAAACTTGATTCTTGATGATCAAAAATAACATAGGGTACAATTCATTTTGTATTTCATGCTAATACCATGTTTAAAAACAGAAAAATGTTAATATACGGAGATTAGTAGACCAAAATGGGATATTCGGAGAAAATGGGACATAGCCTTTTGGTGAATAACCAAAACTGTAATTTATACAGGGCGATTCACAAATGGTGATCAAAAATGAAACCTCGTATTCTTTGGTGAATTTTAAGGGGGGTTTTAATTTTTTTAAATAATTTAAAAACTAGTCACTGAAATAATTTGAAAGTGGGCATATGTATTTATGTAAATATTGTACTTAATCTAAGGGCTTTTCCTAAAATTTACATGTTCCAGTGGTGAATATACAGGGCATCAGTGGCATATTTTTCTAAATAAAATAGTACGGCACTGCTCTACGGTAACAACCATGACATTTTCGGATTCATCTTTCAATTTTCTGCAAATTACTACTCTCTTATGTTTTTCGAAAAAAGCCTGATTTTCGAGTAAAACCAACTGAAAACACACCACTGGTTAAAGCCTCAAGGTTAATATTAAATTCAATAAAATGTCTGATTAAGTGAATACGCTGTAGTAAATTTCATCCAATTTCGTCAGCGCATTATGAGGATATAGCAGAAAATATGTATTTTTTTGTAAACTTTAACACCCTGTATCTCGAATACCGAGTCCCGCATGAAAAAAATTATGGAGCATATGACTACATACGGCTTTCTCTCTAGCAGAAGCATTGAAATACGATGTTTTTAACAAATTAAATTCGTATGTGTTCACAAGCGTTGTTTTTAATTAAACAACAAGTAAACATTATTTGCAACACAATATATTAAAAAATGTAAAAAGTCATGTAACAACATCCAAAATATCATGTATACGATGTACATGTTCTGGTTCTTCTATTAATTTATGTTGAAAATGTAGCACATATTGCACATACGGTATTTTTACCAAGCAAAACCTTAAATTTATTAAAACAAAACAACATATGTGACACTGTTTTTATTGAAATCGCAATGTTTTCTAACATTCTTGAAATACATTTAGTCAAGTTACTCAGGGTTTTTACCTCCGAATTCTTTATAACTGAACCAATTGACGTGAAATTTTGAATGAATTTTGAAATGCCTCAAGGAATAAAACTTATATAGTGCCGAATTGTGCTTTTGCCCTGGGGGTGGTTCCCACCCCTTCTTGGGGGTGGAAATTTTTACGCCCAAAATAACCACAGGAATCGATAGAGGAGTCCAATTTAAAAGTAGCAAATGTTATATATAGTTTTTTGGATAATCTAATACTTTCCGAGTAATTCGTCACTGAAAATGTTGATTTTTTACTGAAAAAGTGCTTGTTTTCGGACAGTTTTTTGCAAATAACTCTGAAACCATTGGATTTAACGAAAAAGTTGTAATGAACAAAAAGAAAGGTAATAAAAAAACAAATCTAATGGCATTATTTTGTTTTTCTCTAATTGTAATATAAACAGAGTTATGAATTTTAAAACATTATTATATGTTAGCTAAAAACTAAATTGGGACCAAATAACGCCAAAACCATAAATATTAGGAAAAACACTATTTGAACCTTTTTTAAAGTACTTTGAAAAACCTTTAAAATGAGCTGTTTTAAAAGTCTTTAGAATCAAAATTAACGGAAATATGATCGAAATAACATGATAGTCTCATTTTTTTTAAGAAAAAATTAATAAACAAATCAGTGCCTTTGGCGACAGAATTAAAATTAAATGCAATCCATATACAGATTTCTTCATTTATGTTCTAAGAATATCTTCTGGGTCTTTGGCTCACTTACAAAGCATGATTTCGAAAAAAAAATTAATGTTTGAAAATGTTAATTTTTCAAATTTTTGAAAAAAAATCGATTTTTATACGCTGTAACTTAAAAATTAAAGGATGTACGAAAAAAATACAAGAGTAAAAAAATGTTGCTTTATTTTTGCTGAAGACTTTGTTTTGTTTTTTATTCCTCTAAAATTAATATTAATCGAGATATCGACATTTTAATTTATTCTATGAATGAGAAAACCACCCATTTCGAGCCCTTTAAACCATTCAAACTTAAAAATGAAGAGCTTAAAAAAAGATCAACTCAACAGTTCACGTAACCCTTATAATTCCCTACAAAATGAGCCTTTGTGCGATTAAAAATCTTAAAAAATAAGAAAGTTATCATCAAAAAAATAAACACGTGTATAGGTGATAATTTTAGGAAAATATATATAAATATAAATGAATGTAAGGGATATATAAGAAGGGAATAAATGTTTATTTAATACGAATGCACATTTAAAATGTTTCTACTATTTCAATAATATTTTTCCATTTTATTTTCGAAAGAGGTATTTTTCAAGGGTTGAAAATTTGCAAACGATAAAAAAGATTTTTCAATCAAGAAATCAATTTTAATTTGATAAAAATGCATGATTAAAACGTTTCAAGTTGAAAAAAAAAATTTTGTATTATATTCATCCAAAGGGGTGGTTTTTAAAGGCTTTTCCTTGTTGAAAATTTGGGATACATTAAGCTTCATAAAATAAAAAAAAATTGATTACACAAAATGCTTAAATTTGTATTTTTTCCAATAAGGGGTGGTTTTCACCCCTTAAGAACAAAATGCCCACCTAGCGCATATATAAGTTTTGGTGGGGGGTAAGTGGGGGGTAAGATGAGCTTAATTCTAAATTTTGAGGAAAATCGATGCAAAAATAAAAAATTCGGATTATTACTATATTTTCAGCTACAGTAACTGGGCTAATTAAAAATATTTGTTTTTCATTTGCCTATACCGAAAAAATCAAGTTATTACCTTAATTAGTAAATGAATTACAATCAAATCAAGTATGCCTAATATCTCGTTCCAATTTTGTCTAAATTGTCATAATATGTGCACATACGGACTTCTTCCGAAGTAAGGCAGTATGTATGTCTGTTGTAATGGATTATGTCTGGGCATTTGTTTTATTAAAATTATCTTGATTTGATCGGTATAGTAGATAATATATTGGTGTAGACCAAACTAAGTAAGTTTATACTGAAGAACACTCTGAGCACTTGTACTGCATGTTACGTACTTTTCTTTACAACACTTCAGTACGACCGTGGATTTTATCTTTGCTGAAGCTGTAACTTAAATTGTTCGTCCGACACAGCCTCCATGATTACTATAATCAACTTTTTTGTTATTAATCCCCTATTCCCCTTTATCGCTCTTTGCAGATACGATCTATCCTGGGAGCGTGTAGGAAATAACTGTTTAACTCCACCATAAAACTAACAAGCATAAAAGCCATAAAAGAGGAACTTAAGTTGTTTAACAATGTTTGTGTAAATTAAGTTATTTCGATTCTGATAAAATCTAGAGGCTAAAGTCTGCCCGTAAAAAAGTTTGTTTACGATCGCATCACTGAAACAACTTTTTGTGGGGTGTGTTGTAAATATATTTCCAGTTAAACCGAAAGCTTTCTTTATCTCAATCAGAACTATCTGGGGCTAATACCGAGACCCATGAATAATAAACGGACGCTTATGGTGAAGTTCTGAACAAGATCTTGACAAAAATTAAAGTTTCATACGAGATATAGTTGCATAAGATGTTTTATTAAGCGATATGATATGTCAAAGACAAGGATAATCATTTTTCTAACAATTTTTCGTTATACTTACATATATAAGTATACAGTAATAGTATGAACCAAAATAAGCAGAAAGGTCTCAATAAACATGGGTCCGCAAAGTAACGGTTGCGGAGATATGGAATGTTTTATGTTTTTTAGCCCCTTTTTTTATTTTGCAGAAACGTTGTGCATTTTCTTATAATAGTTGGTTGATGTTTAGTGAAATAAACAGTACGTATTTGACAGTTGTTCTCAGTGCACAAGTTTTCTTTCTCTAACGCAGAATTAACAGACATGCATTTCATGTATGGTCGTGCTAATGCGAACGCCACCGAAGCGCGACGTCTTTATGTTGACGCTTATCCAAATCGCCAGATTCCTTCACAGCGCATGTTTGGAAGAATTCACCAAAGATTGCGTGATACCGGTTCCTTGAGCAAACAGTGCCATTTATCCGGAAGACCAAGGTCGGTATCCACTCCTAGAGCAGAAGAAGAAATTCTAGCACTGGTAGAGCAGAATCCAGGTACGAGTGTGCGGAGAATATCAGCCGAGGTAGGAATTAGTGGTCCTCTTGTTTGGAGAATCCTTCACGAGCAACTGCTTTATCCATACCATGTGCAACGAGTACAGGCCTTAAATTCAATAAATGATCATCAAGCACGTTTGTTTTTTGCCGCTGGTTTCTACGTCATGATGCTGAAGACCCTCGTTTTCTTGCAAACATTCTTTTTACTGATGAGGCCGGGTTCACAAGAAATGGGGTGTTTAATTTTCACAATACGCATATTTGGGCCGACGAAAATCCCCATGCTCTAATAGAATCTGGACATCAGGCACATTTTTCATTAAACATTTGGATGGGTATTGTAGGTGACAGGTTTCTAGGTCCTGTTGTTTTACCAAACCGATGAACAGGCGCAGCTTACCTCAACTTTCTGCAGAACACACTGTATGAGTTTTTGGAAGACATTCCTTTGAATCAGAGGCAACAAATGTGGTTCCAGCATGATGGTGCTCCAGCTCATTTTTCTATGGCCGTTAGAGAGCATTTACACCAAACTTTTCCACATTGATGGGTAGGAAGGGCCCGACCTGTTTTATGGCCTCCAAGATCGCCTGATCTGAACCCTCTAGATTCCTTTGTTTGGGGATATTTGAAGACATTAGTGTATGGTACTCCTGTAAATAGCCTGGAAGAGCTGCAGCTACGGATTAATCAAAAGTGTCAAGAAATCCAAACCAAGGAGGGTGTTTTCGAAAGAGTTCGAATATCGTTGAGACGAAGATGTCGTGCCTGCTTGGAAATGGACGGAGGACACTTTGAACATCTTCTGTAACTTTGTTTTTTGTTTGTTAAAAGCTTCCTTTGTCGGTTTATTCCTAATAAAATAAAATGTTAGAAAAACGAATAGTGGTCCATATCTCCGCAACCGTTACTTTGCGGACCCATGTTTATTAAGACTTTTCTACTTATTTTGGTTCATACTATTACGTCCTGAAATATTTTACACTCTTTTTTAACACCCTGTATTATCTCAAGTTCTTATTTGACATAATTTTTCATTTGTTTTTTAAATAAATGTTTATAAAAAATATAAAAACAAATTATAAATTAAATATGACTGAATGGGCTCATTAAGTACTCTGTATGTCAAGCGGTTTTTATCAACATACCTGCAGAAAGGCGCGAACGCTGTTCGATCCGGCCACACTAAGAGCGTTGCATACTAGGAACCCAGCGTCTTCCCTCTGAACCCCCTGAATCCGCAACGTTCCGTGGGCGTTAACGTGCATATGTCCATTCGAGTTGTCAGAGAACATAAGTATCTGCGATCCTTCTTTGCTCCAGAACACGGAAGGTGGAGGATTACCAGTCGCTGAACAGTGGAACTCGACAACGCCGTTTAAGCTGACCTTTTGATCGCGTGGACGTTCGATGAATGTCGGCGGTGCTGGAATTAATAAGATTTTCAGTTATACAGGATGTTCAGTATATAACAGTAGGTTTTTCTTTTTAACAGATGATGGAAAAATTAATATTAAGCAAAAACTTTCATATGAACAGCGTACAAACAGCCGCACTGAGCGACTGGACCATAAATTTCAGTTGTTGACATATTGCCTAGCAGTGCAGTGCAGCAATGCGGAATTTGATACGATTCCGGTAATTTTAATTTATTATAAGCACTTTCAATTAATCATTTATATTACAACTATGAAAGGCAGAAATAAGAAGAATATTTTGTTTACTACTAAATATTATTAAAACATGGCATTTTGGAGACCTTTTGAAGCGAAACAAAATGAAATATCGCCAGACAATATTGAATTATTAGAACCGGTTGTTGATGAAACAGATTTAGAACTTAGAAATAAAGATTTACATGTTCAATGTCAGCATCTCATTTTAAATATTTACGATTGTTTAAAAAAGGAAGAAGAAAAGAAGAACAAAAATTTAAAAACATCGATGACATGACGAGAGACGTAATTCGGCAGACACTTTGTTACTTATATCAAGAAAAAATGTTGGACAAATGGACATATAATAGAAATTTTCTACACATTATATACCTACAAATTATTATTATTTTTTACTTTTAACAGAAAACTTTTTTAGGGACGCCTATGAAACCTTAAATTTTATTGCTAGGCGTTTTAATACATATTCAACTGACTGCATCAATTAAACTATACCTGATACCCAGCAAACTTTTTTACTTTAGTATTGACAGCAAAAATCGATTCCTCATATCATTTTATATCAGACTACGTATTTTTGTCCCAAAATTTTGGGAAACAAATGAAATACGACTAAGAAGAGAAATAACAGAAAATTTTCTTTGAATATCTTCAGGACTATTCGCAATTTTCTAAGTTTAAAAACAGATGCCCTGCACAAAATTCTGAACATTTCTGCTCTTTAACCATTCCTGTATCTCTTAAAATAAGAGAGATGCCTGTATTGGATAGATACCAACAATATAGCGGGGTTTTACTTCCACTTACATAAATCAGTGGCCTATAAATCAGTGTACATCGAACGTTTTAGAGATATTTTAAAAAAATTGATAATTTTTTCAAATTTCAACACGTATCTCAAAAATGAAACGAACTACGACCCACATTCATATAAAGCTCTTCTTAAAATAATTTTTTCTATCGTCTGTTGCAAGGGTTACCATTTACTGAAAACTGATAGGGTTTAGGTGTTGGAAGTGAACATTTTTTAAACATCCTAAGGGCTCTGCAAATACAAAAGAATAACACAGACTGATAATGTTTTAAACCAGACATTATACTATAGGTATTTCTCAAAAGGTTTTTGATACATGAATCCGAATCCGACATGGTTTTCGATTAAAAAAGTAAAAACGAAAATACATAATTTAAAAATGAAAAAAGGTAGGTCAAATTTCTCTTTGGCTATACGTGTCAGAAAATCTCGTAACTGTCCGAATTTGATCGGTATTTAAGATAACCAAGATCGTCATAATACAGCTCGAAAAATGGACACCCCGTGTACATATTTGTTGTTTAGACAATTTGCTACGGAAAAAAATCATTTTTACTGCAGTACTCAGCAATTATAGAACCATTGCAATGAAAAACTAATCCATATATGTTACAATATTCCCTGGTAAAAAGTAATATACCTAGTTACTGATATTTCCTCTTGTTCCCTGTTTAATTTAAATAACAGAATATGTCAATAGATCGCCCTAGGTTACGCGCGAAATTTATTTACTCACATATAATTTGCCTGACCGTGTCATTAACCTAAATATTGATAGGTGTATTTACTCGTGTATTTACATATGTCCTCAAGTAATATGTAGGTACGTAATTTTATTATTTACAAATTTTTGGTAAAAAATAAAAGGGTATAAGTGTTACTTTAGTGGACAAATAAATACATGTTTTGATAAGTTACTGTAGAGAAAGTTAAAATTTTATTACAGTAATCAAAAGAATTGGAGCTGCTGCCTTGAAAAAATTAGTGATCCCACATTTTTCATTATAGGTGATTATTAAAATGGAAGATAATATTGACATATAATTTCTTGGTCACGGTCTACATGGTTTCGATGAAGTAATAATAGAGGGATATATGTCAGCACATTGCCTTAGGGTTTAGTTAATCAAAGATAATTTTTATAAAAAAATTTTAAAGTGCGCACACTAGCGCACGCGATATCTCGAAAACGGTTAATTTAGGTACATGATGTGTTATATGAATTTTGCTCAGAATTTCTAGTAGAATTGTAATATGGAATAACTACAGGGTTTTCCATTAAAGAAAAAGCTGGTCCGTTTTTCATGGCTCACCATTGACATCTGGGAAACCGTAAGATATACAGGGTGACTCAAATTAGAAAAAAGTTGCGCCTTCTCAGGATCATTAAAATAAACCAAACACATCAAAGATATCTGCAGCTGTTTCTGAAATGTTATGAAAAAACTGAATATGGCGATTTTAGAAAATGCCATCTAGCGTCCTTATTTCACAACAGAAGGAGCTGAAATGTGGTACTGGGGGCTAAGAAGATACGAGGAATCCATTTTCGTCGAAACGGCCACTAGTTTGAGTTCATTTTTGTTTTCTTATGGGCGCCATATTGGATCTTGACATTGACAGATAGAGGATAAAATTACGAACACGCCAATATGTAACACTAGTATTTTATTTAAAGAATAACCCAAAAATTAAAGAAACTCAATAATTTATTTAAAAAATTAATAAAATCTAGTTTTTCTTGACGTAAAACAAAAATCAACATTTTGACAGATTCGAAATTTGCTAGCGCTTGCTGCCTTGTGTATATACATACATTATTTTAAAATTTATTGTAATTGAAATTATGGCAAAATTTTCAATTACTGATGTAGTAGAAATATTTGTATACTTGCTACCCTTTGTAATCTCCGACTTAAAAATCTGTGCTAAACAGCAAAAAGGGGCCCTACCTAGCACGCTGATATGATCATCTGAAGACTAAAACTCAGGGAAAAATTAAATTTCCGGATCTAACAATGTTATCCATTACTGTTTAAAAAGATAATACCATTAGAAGCATATATCATAAGCATAATATAGCATTATTTAAGTATCTACATATGAAAATAAATGTATTGTTAGTCAATTATTGAATTGAATACAATCCTGTTAATGCCCACACAACTCTCAGCTTTATTTATGTAATATGATTTACATTAATCTCATCCGACAATGCAAATCAATAATACCAACCAATAATTTATGTACTAATTGGTATTACGATTAAGTTATCCACATAACGTGAATAATAACAAACATAGGAATGTGATATACCGTTGTCACTTTGTTATATTTGCAGATTCGGAACACTAAACTCTTCACTGAAATTAATGATATTTGGGAAATAACTACATGCATCATCTGTATATTTTTGTAAGAGAAAATGTTTTATCAATGTTTGTGAAAATATAACTACAGGCTTATTGCATGGGGAAAATTAAAATAGATAGAAATTTAAGTGGGTAGTTTTTGAGACACATAAATGTGATTTAAATGATTTATTATTTATTTGAATAACGCGCGAAAATATTATCATGAAATGCACTTTCCTACAACATTGTTACAAAATGGAAAAAACCTACGAAATAACACTTTCACAATGATTGTCAAAATAGTTAGAACGTAATTGATGAATTTTCATATTTTAAAACAATAGTTTAGATAAATTTTCAAGATAATTTCTTTGTGTGAATTTTTTCAGTTCATGCTTTATTGATTTATTGCAAAAGAATGGCTTTTTTAAATATTCTCCAATCATTTTTTACTAATAAAGTAAAATATGTCTGATTTCTAACGTTTTATTGAGGTTTTTAATAAAGCATGTACACAATGCCAAAAAAGACTCCAATTGAAGTTCAATTATCTTCATAACAATTCACTTTTTATAAATTAGGTACAGTTATTATATTAAAAATTTGTTTTGAATATAACCCAAGATGTGTCAGTTCAATTTTTTTGCTTCGTTGAGTATGTAATTTAAAATCCTTCAAATGAAATGTCAATCGATACCTCTCAATGTTTAAAATAGGACGAATGTGTTGCTGTCAGTACATCAATGTATTGAGCTATTCTATCACGTTGGCAACGCTGACATTAGCAATAAAATTTTAAACTAATCCCCGCGAAAAATCGACACGTCAAGTAGGTACTTATTTCGTTCTTTTTCCGTACACCGTTAAACTTTGCAGAAATTTACATGGATTTTTATATATTTCCAATGGTTTTTATACACAAAAAATGAAAATGAGCTAAACATACACAATACGTTGCGAGATTTACACATTTCTAATTATATTTTCGTTTTATTGGATATATTGTTACCTTTTACGTTAGATTTTGAACAGTATTTCTAATATTTTATGTGTTTTTTAATGCAAAAATAGTGTGAATTTGTGAATTTAACTGACCTGTTTTGGCTTAAACAGTTAGATAAATTACGTAATCACCCAGTGTAGTGTTACGGTGTATGAGAGTAGAGAACTTTGATGGCGGTCTAGCAGACCACATGTTTAATTAAATTCGTTTGTGGCGTAGTCATGCAGCTTAGTGTTTTATATACCTAAATAATGTTGTTATAAATAAATATTGAGATAAGTAAGAAATAACACTTTGCATTAAATTATGTAAATCTTATTAAAAGGTTCAAGAAACATAAATATTGAACTTTGTCTAACTTTTACACATAGACGTCAGGATTACTTATCTCAGTTTACTCTACGGAATATATGTCATTTACTGCATTAATAAATGCTTCTAAATTTATTTAATGATATTTTTCCTTCAACCATGTACACTCCACCTTGCACTTTGGAAAAATATAAATACGAAAAAAGCACATTATATATTTGTAAAAATGTTACGTAGTATTACAATGATTTTTCTTTCTTTCTGATCTAACTTTTTACTCTGTTTTGAAGGCATTGAACTAATTCAAATTAATTTTTTTCCTAAAAATTTTTATGAAATGAAGTCGAATAATTTCCTTAGATATTTTGATTTTAAATTACCTTGACACTTTCAAAACAGAGTAAAAAATTCTAGAGTTAATAATAACACATGTTAAAAAATCATTTCTTAGTAAAATTATGGCTGGTTATGATACATTTGTAATTTTGGACGGATTACAGGAAAAGTGTAAAATTACATGCTTAATGTAACTTTACTTGGCAACCGTACATTACCTAGTGTGATGTCAAACAACCACTGATTTAATGTGTGATTTTATTCAAAATCTTTATGAATACATAAAAAAATATATAGAATTTCATTCAAATTCCCGACTAAATTTCAAAAAATACTTACAGTTAACGACTAGAGAAGCTCTAGCGGAAATGCTTCCGACCAAATTTTCTGCATCACAAATATAAAGCCCCTCATCCGAAGTTTGGACATTATCTATCAGTAATGATTTATCGTCCAGTATCCTTGCGCGACCGATTGGCATTTTTCCATCTTCTCTCCTCCATAAAACATTCGGTGTCGGATCTCCATCGACGGAACATTCGAATACTACTTTCTGGCCAGACAATGCCACGACGTCTTGGGGTTCTTTGTTGAATATTGGTTTTACTGGAAATAAATACAATTGATGTATGATAAATGACTATTATTTTTTTGTTTAGCATTGATAAAACATTAGGTATATGTCAAATTCTGACATAACAATTTTCGATATTAGCTTCTGTTTGTTCTACTATACAGGGTGATTCACAACTTATCCAAAAAAATTTGGGAATAGATGCGGCATGAGAAATGGAGTCAATATAGTAAAAAAAAATTTTTTGTAAAATCCTTATAGTTTCTGAGAAAAAAATTATTGAAGTTATAGCACATTAAACCACTACATAGCTGGACAACTGTAGTCTCTAGCGTCATTCGCAATACGCGTGGAGAGCCATGTGACTCCTAATACTGAAATCTGTCGTTGCGGTAGTTTTTACCTGTTATCTGTGGTATTTACATCAGTTTTTTAGTAGTTAGTGCCAAAAATGGCTTGCGTGTATAGCAACTCAGAGTTGATGGATATCGTTTTAATTTATGGTAAAGTAAGACAACATTTGTATTATGGTGAAGCATTTGTGTTATGGTGAAGCAAGACATCATTTGTGTTAGTTCGTAGAAAGTGAGTAAGACGGACCCAAATGTGTTTACACGTGAGTGGATAAAATTTTGAACAATTGCTGTTGCAGCATCGGGTATGTCAAATGATTTTATTATTTAAAAACACAAATTAATTTTATTAATAATTAATAAAGGCAAACGCATTTGAATTTGCCGATATAAAATAGGTGCGATAAAATTCTATTTACATATTTCTTTCCTTGCGAAAGTTTTTGTCCGTTTCTATCACGCCGCCATACCGGTCGCATTGTGCGAGGTCAGGTCTTACAGTGAACCAGTTTCCAGTGCCGTGCAGAAGTGTATTTTTAAATCAATTTCGAACTGACCTTTTTGATTTTTTCTTTACAAAATTGTATTTGTAAGGGTCCCCTGTACATCCAGAATTTTTTTTTTGGATAAGTTCTGAATCACCCTGTATATCTAGTAAGTAGTCAGATAATTACAATAAGAATTAGCGTATAATCATGAGATTAATAATTATTCGGTTGCGGCATAATTATCGACACTTTTTGTGCGCTTATTTGTTTTATCTTATTGATGTTTTGCTATAATTTGTTTTTATAATATCATTTTTTACTGTTTAGTTGATAAAAATGCGTGTGAGGAATCTTCTTCGAAAGCGGTTGGACAGCAGCGCAGTTGTTTCGCGATCTCAATGAACTTTTTGGTGAAGAGAGCAGACGTAAGACAGTGTATATTTGGTTTCATCGTTTCCAATTCAACGACTCAAGTCTCATTGATGATCCAGGAAGAGGACGACCATCTTATTTCAACAATCAAGCCCTTCTGGCAGCCGTGGAATAGGACAAAACTTGATACCAAAACATCGACCATTCCACGATCGTCCGTCATCTCTAAAAGCTCGGAAAGCTGTGGAAATTGATTGGATGGGTCTCCCACGAATTTTCCGACAACAATAAAGCAGATCGTGTCCGAATTTTTACCGAATTGCTGCAGAGAAATGAGCAAGCGCCGTTTTTGAAAAATATTATCATTGGAGATGAATCGTGATTGTTCTTCAAACATATCAAAGGAAAAAGGTAAAGGAATACCAAAAGATGTCCACTGCAAGACAATGGGGTGTATTTGGTGGGATAGAAGCGGAATCATCCAGTGGAAAATCATCTCAAACGGTATCTGCTTCTGGTGGATTGACAATGGTTCGTGATTTTTTTTTGCTTAATTTTTACTTTTTCCAGACGAGCATCAACAGTGACGTATTTCGGTCAAAAACGGCAAGCGACAATTTAAAATCTACAGCGATGTCTATCTGGCTCAGCTCGATCGCCTCCATGCTGCAATCTAGATAAAAAGCTCACGCAAAAAGAACCATATCGTCTTCTATCACGATAAAGCGTGTCCACACGTTGAGCGTCGTGTCGTCGAATCTATCGCCAATAAGGAATGGGAACTACTTCATCATCCGCCATATTCTCCTACAGAAATGCCTACGGACTACGGATCACATCAATCGCTTGTTGCAAAAACTGATAAGCAAACAAAATTTATGACGATTTGGATGAATTGGTGAAGCGTGGATTGCTTCCGAGAATCGTGACTTCTTCAAAAATCAACGATGACTGCATATGTTCTTCTTGAGACACTTCAAAAAATCCGCAACTAAAAATACTAATCAACGTGTCCGACCGTTTTTCCTCAAAATAATTACCTGAATTTTCCTTTAAACAAATTTGTTCCTTTCATCAAGAACACACTGTATATTTTTTTATTCTTTCACGTATGACAGGTATAAGTAAGATCCAAAAGTGACATTCTAGACAGATTAATTTTCTAAACGTCAACAAGTTATTGAAATACGCGATATATAGTGACGTGACGACTTTTTTTTAATGATATTTTCTGGTCTGGCAGATTTGTTACTCGACTTAATTGCTGTAAAACTTTTCCCATTTTCTCTATAAACACGCTCCATTAATGTTCGCCATAAGTTAAGATATGTTGTTTGGCTTGTAACTGTCACATTTTATATATCCTAAATAAAATAAACGAGTCTGTAAAATGAACCATAAAAATAAAGGATTTACTTAATTTATGACCTTTTTCGGTCGATCGCCATTTGTTAGGTTGGGACGAATAAACGACAATGATCGAACTAATCCAAGTGCACATAAATAATGGCATGTAAAAGTATATAAGCTTTTGATTTTAGAATACCTTTAAATTTAAAATCCTCAGTAGGTACTACACATACAGGGTGGGCCACCAGTAACGCTTCGGTCGCTAGGGACCAAACGGCAAATGTTATACAAACCTGCTTTGGTGGGTACGTGTAGGTTGATTAGGGCTACATTTTAAAAATATTTTGAAATTGTCCAGGAAAAGCGTACCATATCAAAGTTATGTATTTGTAAATGGAACATCCTGTATTTTACTGCATTTTTAAAAGCACCATAAAAAAATAAGTGAACTTTATTAAAGGTTCTGCATACCTAGGGCTTATAGTCCACGGGCCCACGTACAAAGAAAAATATGATTACCAGCAAGCTGTAACTTTTCATGCAGCTTAAGTTTGACGAGTCTCCCAAGATTTGACTATGAGGAAAATTCAACAGTGGTAAGTTTTCCCGTGATTTTCAGGAAAACATGTCAATCTGGTATAATCATGGAATGTTATGACCAGCACTTTTTTTTAAGTTTAGGTGAAAGATATATATTTTTTAAACCCCCCAAAACAATTTTTCCGACAAAAAGTTTGGTATTTTGAGTTTGTCCCCCACCCCAAATATGTCGATTTGGTGACATTATGGTTGGTGACAACTAGCAAGCTGATTTTTCTGGGAGGGTTTGGTAATAAGATTTGAAATGAAAGTATCTTATTGTCCGACAAAATTCTTGAGAAGTTTTTGCCGTCCGACGTTCCGAAGATGTCGACTTAACGACAACATGGTTGGTGATAACCAGCAATCTGGTTTCGATTTTTTTCTCTAATAATTGAAATGTATAACACAATAATATACTTGTCCGCCAAAAAGATTGGAAAATTTGCCTTAAAAATGGGAAAAATAACTATTTTTTTGGTACCTAATGTTCATTCCCCTATAAAATAAATAATTTTTTAATGAAAAAATGAAAAAGAATAAATAAGAAAATTATCTTGTTAACAGGAGCAACAGAAATTGAAATTCGTAAATAATTATGTCTAACTAATTTACTTAATCTTCATCAAAATTATTTCTTTGTTCAAAAAATTATATGTACATTTTATTTTATAAACTATTGTAACTATTTTATAAAAAATGGTAACTGTACAATGAATTTCTGCTTGTGTTTTTTTAAATTAAAATTTACAATCTTGTTTTGACAAACAGTTTACACATAGTTTTGTTCTTGAAAAACCAATTAAACCAATTTTAAACCAATTTTAAAAATGTTATAGATTTATTAACGCGTTTATTAAAAGATTGTCTTGTTGTAAAGTATAAATCCTTAATGCGAATTTACTTTGCAGCATTTAAAACCTGCTGCCAAAGTTTTTAACAGGTGTTTATAGTTTCTCCATAAAAACTGATTTCATGTAACCCCAAAAACGGAAGTCTCGGCATTCCATCTCACATTTATGTATATACAATTTAAATTAAGATATAATTTTAGGTACGAATAATACTTAATGGACAGTAGCATACAAATGACAGCAATAAGACAAGTGGAATATGTCAATTATTTGATTTTCGTCCAAATAGGTAGGTACTTCATTGTAATTTAATTCAACAGCATTGGAAGTTTCAAAGCCAAATATCTCGAAAACGGTGCGAGACAGCTAGTTTTATAAAGTGTAGTTTTTGGGTAAAAAATAAAACATAAACATAAAAATAAAACATATTATATTAAAGTATAAAACTATGAACTTTAACCAAAATGTGAACACATTTCAATTCCTCTACTTAAAGAACTCCAAACCTCAAAATTTTGTGAGGATATGTGCATTTGTTAAGGAATAAATGAAAAAAAAACTGAAACATTTTACATTTAACCCCTGTATCTCTTTAACTATCAACTTTTGGACTAAGGTATAAGTTCGGCTAAATCGCAATATTTTTGCTTCGAGAATCTACCCATCAATTTTGACCTATTAGCTCGGGACCACCCTATATACAATTTTTTGTAATTGTATAAAAAAAATAAATTTAAATTAGCCATATTTATTTTGAAATTTGAGAAATTTAAACAAAATTTTTTTTATTCATATTTTTTTTTTATTAAATATAAATTTTTCTTCTGCATCATGCGTAAGTATTGAAACCGCAAAATTTTATAGTTTAATTTTGTCGGACAAGCAAAAAAAAACCGATAATTTTGTCGGACAATTAAATTCTCAGATTAATATTACATTTTTTTAAATAATGACGCTTTTGTCCGACAGCTGGTTATCACCGATTATGTTGTTGTTATGTTGACATCTTCGGGGCGTCGGACTGCAAAAACTTCTC